AGGCCTTGGGAGATGATGATTCTACGCTCGCACTCCTCGTGGAAGTACAGGCTCAACGACACGCTCAAGGCGGCGGCGGCACAGCTGAGCAGAGGTCACGCGGCACGCATGGCAGAGAAGCGCTTCTTCGCCACAGTGCAGCCAGCGGGAGCGCCGTATTCCACGAGGGAAGGCAGCCCTTTTGGGCCCCCGCAGGCAGACGAGCCAGACACAGCGTCGACGAGACAATGGACATGCCCGTGGTGCCAGAGGACGTTCAGGCGCCAAAGAGGGCTCAGAGTCCACATCTCACAGCAGCACTGGACCATGGTTAGTCTAGCGCGTACCTGGACGGGTTCAGCAACGCAGTGCCAAGGATGCCTGACGCTGTACGACCAGACCCACCACCTCACCGAGCACCTGGCGATTGCATCGCCTGCCTGCCTCGTCGCGACCATTGATGCGGGAGAGGCGCCTGGTACTGAGGAGTGCGAGACGCGCAAGGAGCTCCCGCGAGGCTTACTGAGGAAGAGAGTGAACATACCCGCGATCAAGGCAGCGGGGCCCTTGCCAGACGTGGTGTCCCTCAGCCAAGACGATGCAAAGACGGTCCTGCTCGAGGCAGACTACGTGCTCGACGACGCTGCCAGGACCACGCTGCAGGAGGGCTCAGAAGAACGACCTCAGGAGAAGCCGGAAGTTCAGCATGACGAAAGGTACGACCTGAACCAGTTCCGCACCGACAAGTACAGCGGGGTCACCACAGAGGTGAAGATACCATGGAGGATACAAAGGGCAGAGATCTACGTACTCAACCTATTCTGCGGGCACAGGCGCAAGGATGACATTCAACATGTGTTCGAGTCAGCGCCGAAGTTCGAAGTGATGTCAGAGAAGGTGCACATCATGGTCCTCAGCATCGACGTGGCGATCGATGCTCAGCGCTGCGACCTCATGCGCCAGGACAGCCTGATGGTCTTACACGAAGGGATCCTGAAGAGGCAGATCGTGATGTCGGGAAGAGGACCGCCATGTGAGACATGGAGTGCGGCGAGATGGTCAGAGCTGCCAGGCCCACCGCCGCTCAGGTCCCACGACCAGTTCTGGGGAGTGGCGCACGCTGCACCGCAGCAGAGGATCCAGCTTGCAGTGGAGAATGCCCTGATGCAGTCCATGGTGCTCCTCCTCGCGGCGCACCTGGTGGCAGGCACGGCAGGGTGGTCGGAGCACCCCATCCCGTGTAGCTGGCGGCTGGCAGCCGTCACATCGTGGACATGGGAGCCGTGGCTCGCGCTGCTGTCGGCGCCGTGCTCCACGACCGCGGACTTCGACCAGTGCGAGCACGGCCAGCTGAGCAGGGCCCCGACCAGACTTTTCGGGCTCCGCATGGCGGGACTCCACAGTCGCCTGACTGCGACGCCTGGGGGAGGAAAATGCTCCCACGGGCGAGAGGCCCATGCCACTCTCCTAGGGCGCGAGGTAGGGTCCAGGACTTTCCGGACCGCGCGGAAGAAGGTCTACCCCCCGGGCCTCTGCCGCTGCATCGCGGAGAGCATTCTGGAGACGCTCGAATCGGCTCTTGACGAAGCGCTCCCGGATGCGCCCAGGGATGAATCCCAGTCTCACCACCTCCTTGTGCAGGGCCTGGCGGACTTTTATGTCTCAGAGATCCCTGCGACTGAGGACGGGGCCAGGGAGTGGGCCCCAGATTTTGCGAGGGGAAAGGGCCGCAGCAGGCCTGACCCTGAGAAGGGCCGCTTTGAGGCCCCGGACCCGCCTGGCCAGGACCCCCCGGGCCCCTCCCAGGATCCTGAAGACAGCCAGGGCCCCACAGAGGAGGAGGCCTACGCTGCTGAGGTGATCGGACTCTCTCCCCTCCTCTGTCCCCCGACTCCGCCTCCGCCTCCGCCTCTCCCTCCCCGCCCCCCTCTGACCGACACCCAGCGGCGCAGGATTGCCGAGAATAAAGCCAGGGCCCAGCGGATACGGCAAGAACGCCGTAGGCCGTGGGCCTCTAGGGGCCTTGACCTGCGACTCGCGTGGGGAGCCCCAGAGGGCTGCCCCATGTAGGAGAGCACCTGCGGGGCTCGGGCGGACTTGCCAAGGAGCGGGTCGGCCTGGGCCCAACAAATCTTCGGAAGGGCCTGACAACGGATCGGGCCCGCCACACCCTCCACCTGGCTACAGGCCGGGTCCGAGCCGGCCCACTATAAGGGCCACTGCACGTCGGCACCGACAAGACGCAGAGTTCCACCACCACCCTACTTCTCTTCTCTCCCTCTCCTCGGGCTGGCGGTGGGTGGCGTCGGCGGCGGCTGGCGGCGGCGGCGCCGGCGTTTCTTGAGGCCTCTCTGAAGTGGTGGTGGTGGTGGGTTGTGGTGGTGGCGGTGGTGGTGGTGGTGGTGGCGGTGGTGGTGGTGGAGGTGGTGGTGGTGGTGTGGTGGTTGGTGGTGGTGTGGTGGTTGGGGGTGGTTGTGGTGGTTGTGGTGGCGGCGGTGATGGTGGTGGTGGTGTGCCGGTGTGTGGTGGTGGTAGTTGTGGTTGTGGTGGTTGTGGTGGTGGTGTTGATGGCGGTGGTGGTGTGGTGGTTTGTCAAGGTGGTTGTGGTGGTGGTAGTGGTTGTGGCGCGAGGTGGGTTATGGTGGGGGGGTGCGGCGGCGGTGGTGGTTGTGGTGGTGTTGGTGGTTTTGTAATGGTGGCGGAGGTTGTGGTGGGTGGTGGTGAAGATGGTAATGGTGGTGGTGGTGGCGGTGGTGGTGGTGTGGTGGTTTGTGGTTGTGGTGGTGGGGTGGTTGTGTGGTGGTTTGTGGTGGTGGTGGTGGCGGGGTGGTTTGTGGCATTGGTGGTGGTGGTTTGTGGTGGTGACAGTGGTGGTGGTGGTTGTGGCGGTGGTGGTGGTGTGGTGGATAGTGGTGGTGGTGGTTGTGGCGGCGGTGCTGGTGGTGGTGGTTTGTTGTGGTGGTGGTGGTGGCTGGTGGAGGTGGTGGTGGTGGCGCAGTGGTTTGTGGTGGTTTGTGGTGGTGGTTGTGGTGGTGGTGGTGGTTGCGGTTTTGGTGGTAGTGGTGGTGGTGGTGGTTGCGGTGTGGTGGTTTGTTGTGGTGGTGGTGGTGGCGATGGTGGTGGTGGCAGGTTGTGGCGGTGGTGGCGGTGGAGGAGTTGGTGTGGTGGTTTATGGTGGTGGTGGTGGGGTGGTTGTGTGGTGGTTTGTGGTGGTGGTGGTGGCGGGGTGGTTTGTGGCATTGGTGGTGGTGGTTTGTGGTGGTGACAGTGGTGGTGGTGGTTGTGGCGGTGGTGGTGGTGTGGTGGATAGTGGTGGTGGTTGTGGCGGCGGTGCTGGTGGTGGTGGTTTGTTGTGGTGGTGGTGGTGGCTGTGGTGGTGGTGGTTGTGTGGTTGTTTGTGCTGGTGGTGGTGGTTTGTGGTGGTGGTGATAGTGGTAGTGGTGGTGGCGGTGGTGGTGGTGGCGTGTTGGTTTTTGGTGGTGGTGGTGGTGGTGGCGCTGGTGCTGGTACTGGTGGGGGTGCTGGTGGTGGTGGTGGGTGGCGGGTGGTGGTGGTGGCGGTGGTTGTGGTGGTGGTGGCGTGGTGGTGCGTGGTGGTGGTGGTGGGTTGTGGCAGTGGTGGGTTGTGGTGGCGTGGTGGTGGTGTGGTAGTTAATGGTGGTGGTTGTGGTAGTTATGGTGGGTTTTGGTGGGTTGTAGTCGTGGTGGTGGCGGTTGTGGTGGTGGCGCAGTGGTTTGTGGTGGTGGTGGTGGTGGTGGTGGTGGTGGTGGTGGTGGTTCTGGTGGTTGTGCTAGTGGTGGTGGCGGCGGTGGCGGTGGTGGTGTTGGTGTGGTTGTTTGTTGTGTTGGTGGGGTGGGTGGTGGTGGTGGTGGTGTGGCATTCGGGTCTTCCTCTTCCTGCCACCGTCTGTTGGCTTTGGGTCACAGTTCTAATGGATGCCTCTTGGGGTCTCGTCAGAGGGGTCTCTGGGGCGTCTGAGGAGCACGTGTGAAGGCTCCTGGGCGCCTCTTTGGCATCTCCTGGAACTTCCTAAGGGCCCCTGGTGGCTTTCGGGAAACGAGGGCTCGATATGGCGATTTGTATCTTCCCGCTGCCGGCCCTCGCCAGCGCAGGCGCAGGCGCAAGCGAGCGGGGGGGGGGGTGCGACACCCCCCCCCTGGGAAGCCGGAAGAGAAAAGATTTGGGGAGTTAGAATCCCTATACTTCCTTTCTTCCTTCCCCCGGGGGGGGGGTTGAACCCCCCCCCCCTTGGGAGGAGAGGGGGGGTGGGGGACGGGGGGTGGTTAGGGAGGAGGGGAGTCCCCCTAGTTCTGATCGACGGCGCCGAGTGTTCGAGGGGGGGCCCCCCGGTTCGAAACGCGCCGCCGAATGTTCCCAAGGCAAGCGCCCATGAAACGCGATCTCTCGAAAATCGGAATCGAATCGGATCGGGCCACCCAACATCGATTTCTAATCGGATCGATTGGATCGAGATGGACCCAGGGGGGTCTCTAGCATTAGAGCCACGGATGCTTCGAGCGCTTAGTTCGTGTCGCGACGATTTACGAGGTTGGTTTCTGACACTGCGTGAATCGTTCAACCTAGAACGATCGCGGTGTTCCGATCCGATCGTACAGATCGTTCGGTATCGGCCGATTCCCAGCCACTGGCGTCGTTGGACCTTGAACGCCCGCGCTAGGGTCGCCGCCCGACGCGGCGCGAATCTGCCGCAGAAGGGCTCGGAGGCTTGAAAAAGCTTCTAAGAAGGCGGGAGAACTCTCGATCTGAACGCCCGAACCAGGGACAGCACAAATAAGGGCATGCACAACTATGAATGCTGTCACAAGCTGGCAGCGCTTCTCGTTGCGAAAGCACGAAGTCCACCGTGACATAGACAACGAGTCCTGCGCCAGGGGGGCAGGAACTGCTGCCAGTCCCCGCACCCACTCTTCCCATCCCCGCTTCGGCCCTCACGATCTGGAAGGCCCCCTGCCCTTTATTCGGAGGCCGCGCCACTCGCCACACCCCCTCGCCCGCGCCGCCAACGCTTGCAGCAGCTCCTCCAGCGCGACCATCACCTGCTCGTCCACCACCCCCCAGCGGTGGCTGAGCTTCACGAGCTCGCGCGGGTCGAGGAGGCCCTCTCCTCGGCGGCAGCCCTCCAGCGCCAGCCACAGCATCCGCGGCCTCAGCCCCGGCGCTGCGGCCCCCGCCTCCTTCAGCTGCCCCAGGGACGGCCCTGGCGCCTGCCAGAGCACCTGCCGGCCACGAGCAAGCGTGACCCCAGGCAAGAGTGACCCGTGGTGCGCGACTTCAGGGGGCCGCGGGGAGCCCGCACCCAGGCGCGCAGGCCAGTGGGACCGGTTGGCCCGAAGGTCAGTCTGGCAAAGGGTCACTCGTCTGTACGGCAGGTTCGTGTCGTGTCGACCCCGGCGTTGGTTTTTGACACCGCAGGGATCGTTCAACCTTGAACGATCGGCCATTTCCGCAACGTCCAATCGTTCAACATCGACCGATTCTGGGCCGCCGCCGGCGTTCAACCTTGAACGCCCGCGCTGGGGTCGCCGCTGGTCGACACGACGCAAACCTACCGTACGTGGCCGAACCTGCTGCAGCAGAGACTGGAGGGTCTCCCCGGGGAGCACGGCGGCGAGGCCGAAGAGCCCCACGGCCTCCAGCGCCGGCAGCCCACAGCCCACCCGCCGCGCCGCGGTGCCGGCGTCCACCGCGGCCCCGCCCTCGCACCAGCACAGGAGCTTGGCCAGCAGCCCGTCCGCCAGCTCCGGATCGTCCGCGGGCGCCCGCGCGAGGGCCGGGCAGCCCCGCACGAGCCTCAGCAGGGTGTCTAGCTGCAGGCCCATCAGCTCCGCCAGCGACAGGTCGCCGCGGCCCTCGCAGGCCTTCACGAGTAGCCTCGTCCCCGTGGCGGCGGCCTCCCTCGGCTGCAGCCGCTCGCAGAAGTGCAGCAGCGCGCACACGTCGGGCGCCTCGAGGCTGGCCAGGTCCCGCTGCAGGTGCTGCGAGACGGAGGAGCGCTCCCTGCCGGTGACGGAGAGGAGCACCTCCAGGCGGCCGGCCAGCTCGAGCGGCTGCATCCACGGAGGCCACCTGGGCGGCCGCGGCAGGTCCCTCGGAACTGCGGGGCCTGCCGCCAGAGCCGCCAGCGGCTGGAGCCAGAACGGCTACACGCGGGTTGACTGCCACGTTTAGCGCAGGGCACTGTACAATACACGATGAACTACTCAGCGCAGGCACTGCCTGTGCGAAGACATTGAAGCCAGCTGAAGGCAAGCAACACGCCAGCTGAGAAAGCCAAAAGGCAAGCTGAAGGTCAGCTCGAGGCAGGCCAACAAATGAAGGCTCGCTTTCATGTAAGCTGAACAAGCAAGACGAAAGCAAGGTCAAGGCACCCAAAAGGCCAGCCAAAAGCAGGCGGAAAGTAAAGTTTAAACAAGCTGGAGGCAAGCTACGGGCAAGCCTCAGGGCTTGCTGAATGGAGTGTCATCAGGTCCCTGCGAGTTCGATCCCAAGACGGCCCAGGGACCACCCCAGACGGCCCCGAGACCCTCCAAAACGGCTCCAGAACCCCCAAAGGGATGCCAATATGGCTTCCAGAGGCCCCAAGACAGCCCCCAGAGAGCCCAGATGGACTCCAAGCACGGCGTTGGAGGAGGGAAGGGGAGAGAGGAAGGAGGCAGGAATAAGAGGAGGAGGAGGAGGAGGCGAGCCTGCCCGCGGCCATCAGGCTATTAGCGGGAGGACGAAGAGGAGCAGGGCGGCGGGAGGAGAGCGCACGACGACGACGACGACAACGACGACGACGACGAAGACGACGACGGCGGCGACAACGACGACGACGACGACGACGACGACGACGACGACGACGACGACGACGACGAGGACGAGGACGAGGACGAGGACGAGGACGAGGACGAGGACGAGGGCGACGGCGGCCTCGACGACGGCGAGGCCGCCCCCCCACCCCGCCCCCAGCCGCGGGGCGTCCCGTGGCCGCCCCCGTCCCGCACCGCTGGCCGGGGTGGCCTGGGCGGGCACGGCGGCGGCTGCGACGACGGCGGCGGCGAGGGGCACAAGGACACTGCTGCGAGAGAACACGTGGCAGCAGCGCGCAGCCCGAGACGAGCCGCTCCGCCCCCGGCCCGCTCACCACACAGGCTCGAGGAGACGGCCGAAGAGGGAGAGGGGGCGGGGGGGGGGGCGAGGGGCAGGGGGGGACGAGGGTCAGAGATGTGGGAGGCACCCGCTTCTCGCCGCCGCGAAGCTCGGCGCGGAAGGTCCAGCTCCTGAGCAGGCTGTGAGCACCGCGTGGCCCCACAGGGCCGCCCGAGCCCCGGGCAGAACGGCGGCAAGCACAACGAAAAAACAAAAAGCGAGAACGGATGGCGGACGATGTTCGGAAAGGAGTGGGCAATGGGGGGAATTGGAGGCCTGGAAATGGGCACCAACACCAAGACAGGGGGCTGCCTCCACAGGGGAGAGATGATCCTAGAGTTCGGTGTTGGTGGCAAATGTCGGTCACCTTGGAAGCCAGAATATTACCACCATCACCGAGATCGGGATCTTCTTCCCTCGGTGGAGGAACACCGCCGATATTGGTGTTGGTGTCAACCTCTAGGCCTGCGAGGGAATCCAGCATCCGACCAACGTCGTCGAAAGACCGTGCGATTGCCGGCCACGCGCAGGGCCATCGCGCCCGGCCACGGCCCCACCCTCCCGCAGCGCCCGCGGGGCGCCCGCGCGGGCGGAGGGGGAAGCTCGAGCACCCGAGGCGGCCGCGAGCGCGCGGGCGGACAAATGCCAGCTCTGGGCAACAGGTCCGTCTCCCCCCACCACCTCCTCCCCTGACCGTGTTGCCCACTTCTGGGAGGGGGCGAGGAGGAACCGCGAGGCGGGTCTGCATCGCTGTCCCCCTCAGAAGGCTCACAGCGGACGCGGCACCGCGTCGTCGGCATGGCGCCGCCACGGCCGCGGCAGCGCGGAGCCCTCCACCTCAGCCTCCGCACCCATCATGCTGCCGTGGCGGCACGGCACCGCGGAGACCGCGGCAGCGCAAGACCGCGGCACCGCGAGTGCCAGGTCGCCCAAAGTCGAGCCCCGCGCCCCGAGAAGGCGAACAGCGCGCGGTCGTCTTCGCGCCCTCGCGAGGCCCCCGTGGAAAGAGGGGGGGGGGGTGCACCTCTCGGGTCGGGACTTCGAAGCCCGATAAGCGGCTATCTCTGCGACCCTGCGGGCGACCTGGAGATACAGCTCGTCTTGATCGGTGTGGCCCGAAGATCCAGGCTGAGGAAGATGGGGCAGGGAGCAAGGAGTGGCCCGCGAGCGAGCGAAGGGCCGAGAGGGGCTGACAGAACGACAGAGGAGGAAGTGGACGGAAGGGGAAGGAAGGGGAAGGGACAGGAGAGGAGGAGGGGAGGGAAGGGCGGGCACGGGCCCTCCCCGTCCCTTCCATCATTTGCTCCCTCACCCTCCCTCTCCCGCCCCGCTCTCCCACAACAGCTCCTCCCCCTCCCCGTTCCTCCCCCAGGCTCCGCATCCTCCCCAAACCCCCTCTGCGTCCTTGCTCTTCTCTCTGCCCGCATTACCCCGATCCCATCTCGCCCGAAGGATTGCAAAAAAACCAAAGGATTGCAAAAAAACCAAGGATTGCAAAAAACGAAGGATTGCAAAAAAAACAAGGATGGATTGCAAAAAAAACAAGGATGGATTGCAATCCTTCGACCAAGGATTGCAATCCCTCCCCTCCCCGCAGCGTCGCCATCTCTCGCCCTCCCACCTCCCCGTACCACGCCGCTCGCACGGCTCCGCGAAAACGTGCGCACGGGAGGACCCAGGCCGCCCCCTCGTCCAAGCGCGGGCGCAGAAATCCATGCCTTCGCCGGCCAATAGGGCGAGAAGAACCAAGGGAAATGAGCACCCGCGCTCTGGTTTGACGCCCCATCTGACTACCTACCAGACCACCCCAACCCAACCCGAAGACCCGAATTTGACCCCAATTTCGGGTTGGGGGGGGTACGGGTCCCATGTGTTTTTTCAACGTTCCCCGACCCCCCCCCCACTGGAAATGGAGGGCAAATTTGGGCCTTCGGGTTGGGTTGGGGTGGTTTGGTGGGTGCTGACCATCAGAACCACGAGGGGGCGACGCGGCACGAGAAGCCACACGGGCCATGGGCGCACGGAGCGAGTCCTGGATCGCCATCGGGGTATAGGGTGAAGCCGCGAGAGGGCAACTCGGCACAAGGGCCCCAGGGAAGCATGCGCGCCCGACTCCGACCCTGGCATGCACGCTCGCGGGAACAAAAGCGACAGGGCACGGACAATGGGAGCGGGGGGAAAGAGCAAACACCAGTCAGCACATAGAAAACATCGGCAAATCCCCATGTGGGGCCTCCAGGCGATGGGCCGTCACACTGCGTTGGCTCAGGTGCTGTTGCGATGATGTGGGAAGTGGGATGTCGCAGTTGCACCCGTTCCCCCCCCCCCAAGCCCCAGAACGGCCGCATCGCCAACCTCTAGCGGGAGGCGGGAGGTCTCAGAAACCCTGGCCCCACTGGCCCTAACACAATACAAAGAGCTCTCACTCGCAGCGCCACGGCCCCCTGTCCGCCACCGTGCCCCCTGGCACGTTGAGGCGTGCTAACATACCAAGTGCTGTCTGTTTTTTTGGGTATGCCGATGGTGACATGCAAAGCAGGTGTCATGGGCGAAGAGTTTCTGTCATCTTCTCAGGGCCCCCCCCTCCTCTGGGTAGCGCAGTGTTGCGTGCACCGCCCATGTTCCTGGGGGGGTCCCTGGGCGGCCATGGCGCCTCCCTGGGGCTCTCCAAGGCTTTCATGGCGGCCCAAGAGGCCCCCAAGACAGTCCAAGAAGGCCGCGAGTCGCCGAACGATCGCTCGAAGAAGCCCAAGATGGCCTCAAGATGGGGCTTCCAAGGCGCCCCAGGGGGCCTCCAAGAGAAGGATCCCCAAAGAGGGCCCCGAAAGGCAAAAATCATGGATTGCCATTGCGTGTGTGAAGGATGTTGGCGTTCTGTCGCCTTCTCGGCTTTCCGACGCTCCAGGAAAGCGCAGGAACCCCCAAGACCACCCCAAAAAGCGCCCAAAAGGCCTCCAAGCGCCCAAGACGGCCCAAGAGGGCCCCAAGGCGGCCCCAAAAAGGGCCCCAGAGAGGGAACACGAATCGAAAATCCAAGCCTTTTGCCCCAAGAGGCCCCAACAGGCCCCCAGGAGGCCCCAAGAGGCGTTACAAAGGCCCCAAGAAACGCCCAAGAGGCCCCAAAACGGACCCCAAGAAACTGCAAAACTGCCTCTAAGAGGCCCCCCAAAGGCCCCCCACGAGATTCCAACGAACATACACTATACTCCTCGAGTGCCCCCTCGAAGGAGAACCGCCGAGCATGATTGGCTTGCACGGCGGCAGGACTTGCCGCACGCAGCTGGATAAATCATCAAGGTCCGCGTTCCCAGCGCCACGATGCCTTGTCAATCCCACCAGCCCTTTTGGCGAAGGTGGTCTAGCGATGTTGTTTCGTCCCTTTTCTAAAACCCTCGTCCCTTCGGGGAGGGGCGCCCTCCCCCTCCCCTCCCTGAGGTTTTTTTAAAGGCGAGCTGCGATCGGTCAGATCGCCCAGATGGCCAAAGATGGCTCCAAGCGAGACTCCGGTGCTCCAAGATGGCCTCCAAAGCGGCTCAGAATAGCCGAAGACGGTTCACTGCATAGCTCCCGACATACTTCCAAGAAGCCCGACCAGGGCCACAAGACGGTTCCAAGTGCTCTCGGACCCCCCACACCACCCCACCAGGAGGCCAAAACCGTCCAACCAAACAAAGGAAAATATATGAGTGTTGCCTTCTCGCCTTTTCGCTGTCGATGCACTTCCGAAGCCTCAATTCTGAGGCCTCAAATTAGCCCCCAAGTGGCGGTTTTGATGGTCCCATGGGGGAGGCAAACTTGGGCCCCCCCCTTTTGATCGATGGCTTCCACTGAAAAACTCGCGATGATGAGCAGGTTTTGTTCTCGCGACGGGCGCCCGATGATTGAGCGCTCCATTCCGCCAGTCCGCGTCGTCAGACACATGAACACAGCTCACCGTCGCACAGGAGAGGGGAGTCGGGATGAAATAGACTTGCAGACGGCGTCACTGGGATCTAAACGAAAAACCAAAAAAAAAAAAAAAAAAAAA